AATGAACGCTTGTATAAAAATTTGGGACAAAACAAAGATACAGATTTGCAAGAACGCAACAGCATCCAATCCCATAGCCACTGTTTTATATCCTTGTTTGAAACTCATGAAATTAAAGTCCTTTTTGCATGGCTAGTGAACCGTCGCAGGATATGGAGAGGCCATTGTGCGAGTACTTCATCAACAGCTCCCACAACACTTATCTACTCGGTGACCAGTTGCGATCGACGTCTAGTGTAGAGGCGTATATCCGAGTGCTGCTAAGTGGTGTGTTAGCATGGTTTAGTGTTTTAGGTATCTTTATTTGTTTACACGCTATTGCTATATACAATGCCTGATGTCCGGGGTGAACTTGTGGCTACCGGCAGGTGTTGGCAGTTCCCGTGACCCTGTCTTTCAGGGGAGGGCGAACTGGACTATTTAAGGGCTGAGTCTTTTGCGGTCTGTGGTTGTTGTACTTGTTGAGTTGTTTTCTTTGGCTGTTGTTGTCTAGTTGATAGTGGTGTAGGCGTGTAACAACCGTAACTGGATTGACACAGAGTCTGTGAGTAAGCTGTGACAGATATGCATATCGTTTCGTTGAATATGAGGTATGATACAGTGGCTCGCCAGTGTATCATACTCACTACCGCATCACCGGGTCGCGATGTGCGACTGTGCCTGCCGGTAGGCATTCAAGGGGGATGTGTTCGGGGCGCAGGACGTTTCATTGCAGGGTGTTCGTTGATGTATGTGCTATTCAACTTCAAGTCAATGTATATTTGTCGCAGGCATATTAGCCAGCGTCTGGTCAAGTCAGGCGTAGTCACGCTACTACATATGAAGATATTGTAATGTCTATTGGGATGTCATTGTCTAAGTCCTGGTCAATATCAAACAGGGTGTGTATGGGGTGGTTTAGGAGTTTGCGTGTCCAGTACTGGGGTGCCGCTAGATAGGCGCTAGCCTCTGGATGTAGTGTGTTGAAATCCATTTGCGGATTATCTAGCCACAGTGTTCTGTGGGCTTGTTCGAAGCGACGTCTGCGTTCTAACGATGGCCAGGTATAATCGTTTTGTGGGTGTTCAGAGTCTACGAGGAGAGTGTGTACTCATGAACCGTGGCACTGGGAACACACAGTCCATCAGTACTTGGGGTGGTATGGGTCCTTTGTGCAAGTACACCAATTGGTAGAAGCGTATATCCGAGCGCTGCTAAGTGGTGTGTTAGCAGGGTTTATTGTTTTAACGAATGTTCAGTCAGGCCACTGTAGTCCTTCCTGTGCAAGTAGCTGATTGACTCGCATACAGGACTGTTCTCATCTAAACTCTAAAACCCTAAAACCATTGCGTGCCCTTGCAGGGTGTCGCTGTGTGGAGTTGGATGTGTGGGATGGTGCGGATGGACTGCCAGTCATTTACCATGGCCACACTCTCACGTCCAAAGTAAACCCTAAACCCTACAGCACAGGTCACACCCATTCAAGTCAATTAGATGTTATTGGGTGGTGAACATAGGTGTACATTCATGTTCTTGCAGTACACATGTGTCAGTACACTAGTACGTCAGTACACTAGTATACATAGCTAGACATGTCAATGGATGTACGCGTATGCTTATATGTGTACACGCATGTGTGTTTTGTCCATGTTAGTGACATGAGCATGTTATCCTATATATATATATATATATATATATATATATATATACATATACACACACACGACACACAACAACACACACACACACTATATATATATATATAATATATATAT